CCCCAAACACACATGCCTTTCACAAGTTTCTCTGCGGATTCGGGCTCTTCTCAGAGAGCGCACTCCAACCCCATCTTCAAAAAAAAAATAAAAAAAATCCTGGGATGTTTTTTGGCTCGTCTGGTTTTGCCGGGCGGACCCCCCCCAGTCCGTCTGGACCGGGCGTCGGCTTAACCCAGCAATGTTTTTCTTTTTGTTCGTTTTCAGGAAGATGAATTTCTCGGCCATTAAATTTTCTGATGTGAATCCCAATTGAATGAGGGCATCCATTCTGCTTGGCAATTTCCAGAATGTATCTGACCACACTTACGGCCCACTGTGCATGAATCTGAAGGCTATCTAGTTCAGACTCTTCAGAGCTGGGCCTTGTTCGAAGTATTTGCCTTTGTTCTTCTCTTCTTCTTTCTAATGGAAGAATCATTTCGGCAGTTTCTGATTTCTGATGCGACTCCTCGCTCGTGTGAGGGCACACTCACGCTAGCAAGTATTTTTGCAAATTTTACGCATGTGAATTTGCGTTTATACACCTCCGGGTCACACTCCTCACCCGTTTGCTGCCCAAGACAAGAAGGGCACTGTCGTGACCTGGCCTCGAGATGCAAAAATACATTGTTGCGGACATACAGCACGCAATGTTTACTTTTTTCCCCAGAACACAACAGAGGAAAAAGAAGAGTGACTTTGCGGGGATCTCTGGAGGTTCCTGCAAAATACGTCAACCCGCGGCTGTCCAGGGCTGCTGACATTTACGTGCCCTTTTATGTGAAGTGAACATACAAAATACGTGCCTCTCGAGACCTGGAAAACCTCGCATAATACGCGATTTTGCAAAAATAAGTGGTAGCGTGAGTATGCCCTGAGATGGGGAGCAATCGAGTAGTTGTACGGAATTTTTATAAATGCGGAGGATACGTACAGGCCAGTACGGCCTGACACGATTATTGTGAGAGCACAACAAGACACACACACACACACATCATATGCATTGTGGCACACGAAAGGAAAAACTTTGAAAAAGAGAAAAAAGCAACTCCAGAAAGCCATGAGCGAAACCGTGTACGCACAAACACGACATGAGGCACTTGAAAAATGTTGAACAAGATAACTCAGTGCCATGCTGGCGAAGTCCTTGTGCTTGTGAAGCACGAGTTTTTTCGTGCATGAACGATTTCCCGAGCCCCTCCTTTTCCTGTGAGATGCTTCTTCGATGACGGTCACCGGGCTTCTCTTTCTTTACAGGGCATGCATCCCCTATTCCAAATCCACTTCCAGTTCATCTACCCGGCCGGTCTAGATCTCGCATCCTCGCCAAATGTTCACGTCGGGGTACGGGCTGTTGCAATCGACTTGGCACGTTCTGTTTTCCTGCTCCCAGCCCGTTGCAATTCGCAAGCCTTGTCCCTCACAGACTTTGACTGATGAGACCAATTTTTATTATTTTAATATTTTTTTCGAATTTTTTTGCCTTTCATTTGGAACTTTCCAAATTGCCGCCCTGATTTTTGTTTCAGTTTACATGTAGACGCTGGGCCCGGTGCCCAGCACATGTGGCTCCCGACGAACAGACTGCAGCATGGATTTACGCACGCCTTAGTGACAGTGCTTGGAAGTCTTTTCCTTCCGGACTTTTCGAATTCCGGAGATCAGGGGCGCAACTGCGTAGATACTTTGTGACGAGGGCTATTTTTTGTGCATGAAATTTTCAAAGGCGTCCTTGCAAGCCCCGTAAAAGTTCGTTGATGGATATTAGAATGGAAATTGTGCGGCTGAGCACTCGCGCAGGAGCTGATGTTTTGGACTTTTCAACCTCGTTTCAGCTTTAGGAATTCGGCCAGAATTCGGCCGATCTTCACTCAAATGCATTTTTTGCATTGCGCTCTTTTTTTTCCATGCAGCCATTCCTTGCTCTCCTCGCCCAATTCTTCGCGTCATGGAAAGATTGTGGTTGTTCACTGCATGCTGACCATGTTCAATGCACTTCCGAACGAACAAGACCATCACTTCACTCTGCCTTCTCCTACACCATCTGTAAATTATTACCACAAAATTACCCTAAAAAATAAAATTAAAAAACTCCAAAGAGGCAAAAAAACAGCAAAAAAAGACAAAAAAAAAAAAAAAAAAAGAGCAAAGAGGTCAGTGCACATGGCTTACTGGTGGTACACACCCATGAACCGTTGACAATGATGCAGTCAGAAAACAAAAATGCCGATGAATTTCCCTGGGCTCGAATCCTGAGGCAATCAGAAAAGTGCACCCATCAACTGTTGGCTAAATACTAAATAGTACACCCTCAAAAAGAACAAAGAGACTGCAACCAGCGTGAGTCTGAAATCCCACCTCTACAACAACCTGGGCCTCTTCAGATCTATTAAAAAAAAAAAAAAAAACAACAACAACACGGAGCTCGAATCCTGATGCAATCAGAAAAGTTTTTACAATGCCTGTGAATTTCCTGGGGCCGGTCAGTTCGATAATGATATCTCAAGGAGGCCGTCACCCTCAAAAAAAAGAAAGGAAAACAAAAAGAACAAAAACAGATCAGTGCACATCCGACGTTTCCATATCGAGTGGCCGGTTATTCCTTTCACGAACCTGGGGGATAACAGAAAACACGCATCTGGCGAGTCTATACTTTCCCCCGAAGCTTCAAAAAGACTCAATAATTACCCACCGGCAAGGCCACTAGCAAACGTTAAATACTTGTACCGCCTCCTCTGCTGCAAAATATTGTTGCTAGGAAAAAAACAAAAAAGAGTTTTGCTACAGTTCTGCTAACTCGAGGGGGTGGAGGGGGGGGAACAGATTGGAGCATAGTCTTCTTAAAAAAAAAAAAAAAAAAAAAGATAGCCTCAAGACAATGAAGAGATTGTTGCTAGGAAAAAAAAAAAAAAAAAGAGTTTTGCTACAGTTCTGCTGGGGGGGGGGGGGGGGGGGGGGGGGGGGGGGGGGGGAAAAAAAAAAAAAAAAAAAAAAAAAAAAAAAAAAAAAAAAAAAAAAGTCTGGGGGGGGGGGGGGGGGGGGGGGGGGGGGGGGGGGGGGGGGGGGGGTGTTGCAGGGGAGAAAAATTCAAATAATTGACATCGGAAATTTCTGACATCCTGTGGTTTCGGCAGTGTCCCACGGGGGAAAAAGGAAGAAAAAAGGATCCTGTGCAAAAAAAAAACAAAAAACTAGCCGTCTCGATGATAATTTATAGCTGGCGATGCATGCTCGTCAAGGCCGTCTTCTCAAGGCTACAAGACATGTGGAGACGCACACCTCTCGTCTGCTTGGACGCATTGGCTGGGAAGATGAAAAAGAGCTCTTGCTGCTCTTCTGTTTTTTTTTTCTCATGAATTCCGGCCATCCTCGTTGCTTCAAATTGCTGCCCGGCAAGTCGAACAACGGACGCAATCCTCTTCCCCCTTTTAGCCCGTGCACATCCTTGCAGCAATCACTCTGCATAAGAAGGTACACAAGATGGGTTGCCATAGCACAAGATGCTACGGAGAGTCGGACTCTGCGTGCTTCTCCTCACCCAAGCCGCAACAAGAAGCGCATCCACACCCACCCAGACGCTCTGCCCCGCACGTACTTCCGTCTTCGCCCAATGCTCGGTAATTCTTTCCGAACCTGGACTGAAAGTTGCACCCAATGCACAGCTATCAAGAGGACTCTACATTGCATTCCGGTGAAGACGGTAGGTAGCATTCTGGAAAACAAATTCGCTTGCAGGCAAACGACATCCCCTCCCCAAAAATTAGACCCCTTCCCATCCACCCAATGCGTGCAACAATTCTTCAACGTAAATTGATAACAATCTCCAAAGCAGTGGCCAATCTCTTTCTCCACCCATCGCTTTTCAAAGCGTCCAAGGACTCAAAGGCAAAGTTCCATGAAGAGTCATTCTCGAAATGCGACGGCGTTGTAGAGGTTCTATTCTGGTCTTCGTCTTCGGGATTGTGCAAATCCTGTCGAGAGGATCCCCACAGACGTCAACCAGATCCTGCGATTGAAGGGCTGACCGCTGCAATGAGCATACTACTGTCTCCACCCACCCGAATAGAACGCCCGGTAATTATTGCCGCATCTGGACTGAAAGTTGCACCAGGTACACGGCTATAACGAAGAGTCGTTCTAGAATTGCGACCGCATCATCTCCAAAGCATATGCCCCAGATCCTGCAATCGGAGGACTGACCACTGCAGCGAGCATACATCGTGCACGATCGCGATCGGCTGACATCCCTTTCCGAGCGTCCCCAGAGGGACTCAAAAGGCAAAGCTCCTCGGTGTCGTTCTAGAATTGCGACGGCATCGTCATCAGCTACAAGGCAAACTTAGCTGCCTCGTTCCCTTCCGGATTGGCGCGAGTGCTGTGGAGAGGCGCCCCACAGATGTGAACCAGATCCTGCGATTGAAGGACTCACCACTGCAGCGAGTATATATCGTGAACGATCGCGTTCCACCGACTTTCACAGCCTTGATAGCCTGAGTTTATGAGCGTGCTTCGCAGATCAGGATAAAGCCAAAATTGAAGTACACCACTTCACTACCCTGGCTACTGATTCGGTCGGTTGCCCGCGAGAATGAGGGAAATCTCGAGACCGCGGCTGAAAGCTTGATTGAACAAAAGCCTCGACTGAATCGTTGACGAGAACGGAAACCAGGCAAGGATAGCCAGAGGAAGGAAGATTATGAAGCCGCATGTGGCGTCATAGAACCAGGCCATCTTCCTGATGGTGCCCCAGAGTCTCACCTTCTTGGTCAGCGGTTTCATAGCAACACCAATCTGCAGCAGCAGAACAGCGACGACACAACAAGCAATGCGCCCGGTGGTGTCAACCTCAAAAATAATAATTGAAGAAAAGTTAGGAAACGTCATTGCAATGATCGTCTAATTTTTTCCACAAATATTGGAAGTGCATTCGGAACAGTTCATAACTTCAGGAAATACTGCAGCTTTGATGAGCAAACCTCAGCCGCAAGAGTGGCCCGGGACCGCTTGCATACTCGCACCAAAACAAAAACAAAAACAAAAAAAACAAAAAAAAAACTGCCCGGTAAACCGTAGGCAGAGAGGGAGATATATATATCGTCACAAACAGAACTGCCCGGTAAAACCGTAGGCAGAGAGAGAGAAGAGGACAACAAACGAGGGRCTGTGACAAACTGTTTCGTCGGAGTTTCATATATATATCGTCAGAAATATATATATATCGTCACAAATAGAACTGCCCGGTAAACCGTAGGCAGAGAGAGAGAAGAGGACAACAAATATATATATATATTCTCACATCACTACAAACTAAAAGAGCGCACTTTGCGGAACAAAGAATAAAAGCAAAAAACGGGCACAGTGATAACATGCAAAAATAAAAAGAAAAA